AACATTTTGGAAGCCAAACTACAGAAATCCATTCTGCTCAGCACTGCAAGGGTCACTTGAGATTGGAAACATGAGGGGTCAGAAATGTCAAATGTCTTTCTAAACCCTGTGCAGGTCTCAGGGCTGCTATGGCTCTCAGGGCACCAGGGCCCAGGGCCCAGCTTAAGTCTGTCAAGCGGGGGCCCCTCCTCCAAAGGACCTACCTGAAGGGCCTGGAAAGCCTGGTGCTCCTGGGAACCCGGGTTTGCCCTTGATGCCGAATCGGCCATCAGGCCCTGGGGACCCTGGCTGTCCCACGTGGCCTGGTGTTCCAGGCCTGCCCCGTTCACCTTTGGGGCCCAGCAAGCCTGACTTCCCAGGCAGACCTAATGAAAGCAAGGGACAGATGGTCACAGTCTGGATCAATAGCAGGGACTGGTCACTACACCAACTTGCAGTGCAGAAGCCTGGCCCGGGGTACACCCCAGATGGCATTGTCTTCTCGGTGCCAGCCTTGCTGCTGTTCCCAGCAGCAAAATCACAGGCTTTACGAGAAATCTAACTATTCCTTGTGGTCACTTCTGGATTTACTAAGAAAGGAGAATAGACTCAGGTGATTTAAGAAAAAGTTCCCAACAGGGAGAGATAGAACAAAATGACTTTTTATTTTTAACCTGCCAGTTAATTCACCAGCCCAGGCTCATGCGTATATTCATGCAAGCATACCCGCCACGGGAAGACTTTCTGTAGATTGTTAAATATGTGAGTCAAAAAGAGTCACCCTTGGGTCCTGGAAGGCCAGGGTCTCCAGGAAATCCTTGGTCCCCTGGCAATCCCTGTAGGCCTTGCTCCCCCGGAGCACCATTTTCAGCACCATAGATGTCACCAGAGGCTCCTTTGGAACCTGGTAAACCTGGACTGCCAATTTTCCCAGGCAAGCCATCTTTTCCAGGGAGCCCAGGAAACCCAGGCAAGCCCTTCTCCCCATGAGGTCCAGGAAATCCTAAATGTAAAGAGGCAAAAATAAAAGACCATGGAGGTTTAGAAGTAACAGGTCTGGGTAGAGATCTCTGACACAGATTTTCTTTATCTATTATAAAAGCTAACTAGGGGCACCTGGGTAGCTCAGTTGGTTAAACATCTGACTTTGGCTCAGGTCATGATCTCATGGTTTGTGGCTTCGAGCCCCATGTAGGGCTCTGTGCTGACAGCTCAGAGCCTGGAGCCTGCTTTGGATTCTGTGTCTCCCTCTCTCTCTGCCCCTTCCTTGCTGGAGCTCTCTCTCTCTCTCTCTCAGAAATAATAAACATTTTTTAAAAAGCTAACTAACATATTAATAATGTGTGTCACTTCTCTTGAAAGTCAGGAGAGCCCTGGTCCTGGGAGGACTTGCCAGAAGCAAGGACTGTGCCATGTGAACCGGAGAAGGTTCTAGCTCAGTGAGGCCAGGCCTTCAGCTGAGCTTAGCAACCCACTCTTGGGGCTGATCCACTGGCCAAAGAGCATAGATTACATCCAGGACTTCCTGTTAAAGGCCCAATTCTTCTGAAGTCATCTAACCCCTGTTGTCTTGCCTCCTTCTTCCTTGGGGGTGGAGGAAATTGAAGCACCAAGAAACCATAGATTGTGTGGCCCAAGATGAGCCCTGTGCTGTAGAGCAGGGTTGTTCTCAAATTGAGTGTGGGTCAGAACCACCTGGAGGAGAAGGTGCTTGGTAAAATCCAGATTGCTGGGCACCGCCCCCCTAGAGCTTCTGATTAGTAACTCTGCCAAGGGTCTCCAAATCTGCCTTGTTAACAAATTCCCAGATGATGCTGGTGCTGCAGGGAACACAGTTTGAGAACCACTGGTGCAGCATAGAACAAGGTTGCAAGAGGGTGTGAGCAAAGGGATAGATATGAACCACTTCTCTCTGACTCATCTGGATCTCTTTCTCTAAGCTAGAGGGAGTTGATCCAAGAAATTGCCAGAGGTACTCGGCAGTCAGATAACCTGGTAGAGTACTAGTTCTGTCACTAGTGGTTTTGTGACCTCAAGCAAGTCACTTTCCATCTGAGCCTCGATTTCCTCATCTGAATATGAAGGGGTTGTTCCAGCTGATGGCCCTTATTGCTGTGATATACTGTCACTCTCTATCTTGAAGCTCTGCCTTGCCTGAGTATGAAGTCAAAGCCATCCCACTCAGGGACACCTGGGTGGCTCAGTCAAGCGTCTGGCTTAGGCTCAGGTCATGATCTTGCCGTTCATGAGTTCAAGCCTCACGTCAGGCTCTGTGCTAACAGTTCAGAGCCTGGAGCCTGCTTCAGATTCTGCATTTCCCTCTCTCTCTGCCCTTCCCCTACTTGTACTCTCCCTCTCTCTCAAAAATAAATACAACATTAAAAAACCCCTCCCCCCTCCCCTACTTGTACTCTCTCTGTCTCTCAAAAATAAATAAAAAATTTAAAAAAATCCATCCCACCCACACCAGAGTGTGAACCTAACTTCCTATAATCAGGGGATGGCTACCACAATACAAACTCACACTCACACAAAAGGAGAAGCAGGCAAGGAAAAGCTTCTTTCCTTACCTGGCAGTTCAGGAAGGTGAACTAATCCTGGACTTCCAGCCTTTCCTTTATTTCCACGCAATCCAGGATGGCCTGCAATCCCAGGGAGGCCACGGGCCCCCTTAGGACCTGCAAACCCAAACATGAATCAAGAGGGGAAAGGAAAGTCAGTGCGGCTGGTTTCATTTGTAATGTCCACTCAAGAATCCTAGTCTCTTGGAGGGCCTCTTACTCTTACCTCCCCACACAGACCTCTCCAGGAGCCATTCTATTGCCTCAATCCTCAAGGCTGCCCTCTCAGGAAGAATGTGGATCCCCAAATGCTACCAGGCTATGCCCTGCTTCCTTCAGCCCACGGCCCTTACAAGTGTGTTCAATGGCTTTCTTTGGCCTCATTCCATACCTGGGAATCCGGGAGCTCCTGGTAAGCCTGATGGACCATATGATCCAGGAATTATACACGGCAAGGTGACCCCTGTAAATGGTAACATGTAAGCATCTTGTGAGCCCACTAAGTCAGGTGGGCTCTCCTAGCATGCTCCTTTCCTCCAGTTCTGTTGGATGAGCCAACCAAGCTCTTCCCACCCAGCAGCTTGGAGCCCATGCAAAAGAATTGTGGCATCAGAAGCTCTCGGGAGTTACCCCCTAGTGCAACTGCTTATAGGTAAGAGTACTCCTAGTGTCCAAGTGCCAGAATGTCACCTCCTAAACCATCAATGTCCAGTGGGCAGGCATCTACCTATGCATCTACCTATGCAGTAGATGTTACCTAACAAGATTTCCTAGAGGTAGCCTATGTAGGAGCAGCAGCAAATGGCAATGACCTCCTCACCCTACCCTCATATGAAGCCTCTCCCTAGGATGGGTGCTTGGGGATAGGCCTGAGGATCCATTATGGCCATATGACTAGACTGGAGGGTTTGAAGTCAAGACCCCTCAAGTTCACATGTCTGCCCTTTTCTTGGAATGAAAACAAACTATTGGGTTCTTTTCCTAAACCATCGGGTTCTTTTGACCCACAGCACTTGGGATCTACAGAAACCTATTGGTGATTACTGTGGGTGAGAGGTAGCTGTATTTCTGTATCAGACAAACACTGAAGGCCACTCTCTTGGCCATGGCAGACAAACAATGACCATTCCCTCAGCTCCTCCTTTGAAAATGTCAACTCTGGTACTCAGGGAGATGCAGTAGTCAATTTCAGTGTTCAAGACTTTGAAGTTGGCATGCATAGCCTTCCCCTAGCAAATTCTTCCTTGCTCATTCATAATTCAAATAAAAAGAGTCTACACAAGATCACAGAGGGGAGGTTTAATAAAATACCGATGAACAAATTTTGTGTAGGCTCCCTCAAGTGCCATTTACAAATAATTGCTATGCTAATTAAAATTAGTCTTGCCTATTCATTAAAACAATCCCCCAAGGCCTGCTTTAAGCCACAGAGCCAACAGTTCTAGTAAACTGCTATAGTTTTTGCCTGTACATAAAATAAATCACAAATTGCCTTTCTTAAAGATATGTTTACAATCTATGATTTAGACTGCTTACTCAACTAGATGGCATTCCTTCTGCACTTGCTCTATTCACAAAGAAACATGGGGAATTGAATATAGTGTATTGGTTAAGAGGTGGGGGCTCTTAACCAATACACTATAGACACCGAGCCAGACAGACCTGAGCTTGTATACTAGTTCTGCTATTAACCAGCTGTTTGGACAAGATACTTAACCTCTCTGAGCCTCATGTATAAAACGGGAGCTACTTTTCTCATGTGGCACTTGTGAAGATTATATGAAATAATGCTAATGGCATTCTGCACAGTGTCTGGCACCTTGGCGGTTGCTCAGCAAACAGTAGTTTTTTATTATCTTATTTAAGGAGGAGCATTCAGAAGAGCTCCTCCAAGACCAGCCCCTGGTTTCTACCTTAGTCAGGTTAGTGATGCTACTTTGTAGCCTGGGCAGCAACTTTCTGCCTTGTAGACCTCAGGTTCCCATAGCCACACTTCTACAGGTGGAGATAGCCATAGGCCTGATCTTGCCCCATTAGTGGTCACACCCATCTCCATCCTGCCAGACACTGAAATGATGGGGCTATTTCTCAGGGCTATTTCCCTACTGTGGAACTATAACCTATGGGCAAACACCTTATGATAAGATGCCTCACTGGGAGAGGACTGCCAGTCCTGTGTTCAGCTTGGGCCTCAGTCCCTTGGACTAGGCTGAAGAACTGCCTCCCTAGATGGTATCACGAGAGGGATCCCGCAGAAGATTCTCCTGCCCCAAATATTTCAACGGCCCATTGACTCCAATGTATCAAACACTGCAGTTCCATCGCTTTCAACCTTACAACAAACAGTAAAACACAAATATCTCTGTGCTGGGTCCAAACATGAACCATCAATCCTCACTCAATCATGAGATAAGTTTCATAAATTCTCTTTGCCTGTCACAGCCAGATTAAAAGCAAACGTTTAGAGCATGGGGCCAAGGTCAGGCATCGGAAAGGTTCCAGGACAGGACAAATAATGACAAAAGGGAAGATGGAAATCAAGGGCATGTTTCCCTTTTGCCTCAGACCAGGCCTGTACACCACAGCACCCTTGTGTATGCAAGTGGAGGGTCAAAATGCTGAGAAGGTAAGACCTTCAAGTCATCCTGGTATCTGGCTCTTTCACATTACATCTCTGTCTTCTACTTCACATCTGTGAATTCAGAGACTTCTCTTCAACAAAGCATGAATCAGCTTTATCCATGTTCTGTTCTATAACACACAATCTAATTAGTCAGGATTTCCTCCATAAATGCCCAAATTCATTGTCAAAATAAAAAGCACCTCTGCTTATCAAGATTCTATCATTTCAGTTTACTCTGGGTCCAGTGAATAAACATCAGACATGTGTTCATCTTCCAGCTACCTCTCAAGGCAAGTTACAACCCCAGCTAAGTTCATAAAATGAAGGTGCTCAAGGCAGACATCAGCAAAGCCATCAACAAGCATGGTGAAGGAAATCAGTTCCTCTCAGAGGCTGCATGCCCATTTACTCCTGTATCCCCTCCCAAAAATCAGGAGTGACAGTGTCAGTGTCAGCCTTCATGCACCCCTCCCCAGCCAAAGGCTCTAGCATGGTGCTCAGGCCATCATGAGTGTTTGCGAGAAAGGTGAACAAAAAGGAAGGGACATTTTGGCAACATCAGTGTTTGAGAACCTCGAGGCTGAGCTAGCTCTCACCTCCTTCTGTGTCTAAGCTTCCTTTACCAATGCTCTCCCTGCAGCAACAGTCACCTAGACCAATCAAGTAAAGAAGAAAATTAAACCCGGACAGAAGTTCCTTGAGGCCCAAGGGGAGTCTTGTCTGCAGACTGGGTATGCCCACTAATCAAATTCCCTATCCAGATCGAATGGAGAGAGCTGGCACCCACACAGGATCAAGGACACAGTTGCTGTTTCAATAATAACCAGGGTAATTGATTACTGTGACCATCTGGATCAGAGCCTCTTTGGAAACAGCCAGTTGTCTGCTCGTCCAAGCTTTGTAATGACTCACACCACTAGGTTGAAAAGCTTCTAGTGACTACATCCCCATCCAATGCAGCTGCTCTAGCCTGGGCCACCACTGGTTGGAGTGAACACGTTTAAAGAACAGCATCCCTTCATTTTCATGGCAACAGTAATGGCCATCATGCAAATGTCAGGGGCTCCCAAGTTATGTCTTTTTAAAATTGTGTGGAAAAAAAAGATAGGTTTGAGGAGTTATATGTGGTTGCCATGGAAAGAAAAAGAAAGCTAATGCTCTTATCGGAAGTAATTTTTTGGAAAGTCTTGGTGCTACAACAAGAACATTTTCTTCATAGGGTATCTCTCAGGCTAGAGCTTACTATATCACTATATTCCTAAGAACTTTCTGTGTCTGGGGCCTAGTGAAGTTTAGGATACAAATGGTCCCATGGGCCTCCTTCTGTTGACTCAGCCTGTTTTCAAGCAGTCAGAATGTTGATAATAGCCAGATTTGAGTGTGTGTAAGTATATAGGTAACTCAGTTTATAACTCAGTTTAAAACCCAGTTGCCTACAGAAATGGTTGGCCTAGAATAAAGACCCAATTGGCACAGGGATAGTGGAATGACCATGAATAATATCTCTGGGAACAGAGATGGAGGCAAAGCTAGGACTTCCAAAAGTACAATACTTTAGTTTGATAAAATTCCTCACAGCCTTCACAGGGTTTTGTAAACTGAAATACAACTTGGTTTTAAGAATCTTGAATCATCAATTTTTAACATATACCATCATCCTTGGTATGCCAACACATGCAAGTAGATTTTAAAGTCAATAAACATGACAAGACCTGGTTTCTGTCTTCTTTTTTGGTAATTCTTCAAGGTGACAAGGTAGAATGAGAAGAAATAGGTCTAAGAAATAGCCCCTTGGTTATTGAGAGGCCCTTTTCTTCTGTGAGTATATATTAGTATCTTATGGAACATTACACTATACTAGGAAAATTGAGAAATGCTAAAAAGAATTGCCTTCTTTAGTATCCAGACACTTACAAAGCAGTTGAGAAAACTAAAAGCATTAATGGAAGAAAACATGTAATTTAAGAGGAAATGGAATATGTTGTGGAGGTCAAGAGAAGGTTTAGTGGAGAAGTAGGCGTGTACCCTGAAAGACAGATAAAATCTGACTGCACAGAAAAAAAAGAGGAAGAGCATTCCAGAAAAAGGCAACCGCTTGTAGCTTTGGACTAGCGGCGAGACGTGATGATATCAGTGCTTTACAAATACTGAATTGGCAGCATTGTTCATAGCAGAACTGAGTGAGGAAAGTCTGGAGGTAGGGGATGAGACACCACTTAGGAAGCTGTTTGTCATTCACTCACTCATCCATCCATCCATCCACTCATCCTTACTTCCAATATCATTCACTCACTCATCCATCCATTCATCCATCCACTCATCCTTCCTTCCAACTGTCCATTTATTCTGAAAAGCATGTAGGTATTTGATAAGCTTCGGTGTGAGACAATGAGAACTTAGTAGCAAGAAGAGGAGGGAAAGAATATAAGAAGCACTGCAAATGAAGAATAAGAAATGAATTTCAAGTTTTCAAACTTCAGATAACAATAAGGATGGTGCCGCTAATGGAAACAGAAGTTGGGATGGAGAGCTATTCTGGCTGTATGCAAGAAGGTGACTTATTAACATAGCACCATCACAATCTACAAGCAGGACTGTCACTCCCTACAATTCCTGAAATGCTGATAGAAAAGCGAGGGGTTTAAGGTATGAAATAAAGATTAGACTAGATACAAATAGAGTCTCTTCTCAATCTGAGATCTCATGAATTAAGGAAAGGTTCCTCTCTGGTGATGATAGTACCATATAACTTAAGGACACCTATCCAATCTCTTGCTCATTACTTCAATGATACTTGTAGCAAATGGCCATCCACCATCTGCTTGAAATTTTCCAGGGATTATGAGCTCACAACCTCCCAAGACAGCTCTGTTACATTTTCAGACTGCTGTTAGGAAGTCTTTTTTGTTTTGTTTTGTTTTTACTAAGTAGAACTGAAGTCTAGATTGCTCTGTATAAGTGTACCACAATTATGTACAATTATGATCCTTTGTCCTCATGAAAAACCTTAAAAAATTGCAAGAAGTGATTATAACCAGCCAAAATTCTTCTTATGACACATTTCATGTACCTGGGTCATATCTACACTCTACAAGGGGTCAGTTTTTCAAGTCCATGGCCATCTGATTCCATGACTCACCTGGAAGCCCAGGGAAGCCTTGCTTCCCTGGTAATCCATCTATTCCTTGATCTCCAGGAAGCCCACGAGGTCCGGGAGATCCCGGCAGTCCATTTCCTGGGGGACCAGCTGGACCACTGTGGCCCTTTTCACCAGGAAGTCCTGGTAACCCCTTCTCACCTGGGAAGCCCTGTCCACCATCACCCTAGAGAACACATAAGAAAGAATGCAATCCCAACTTAAAGATTTATCCTGAGTTGTTTGACCATAGGAAAGAGGTAGCCAGTGTGACCGATGTTTGGTTTTTTGTTAAAATTCTCCGTCACTCTAGTTTATCAATCAGTTCCTCTGATTTAGTTCATTTAGTTCATGGAAATGAAGTTTGTCAATTCTTGATGATCTGATAATACAAAATATTCTAGACCAGTGGTGGGGAGGGGGCAGGAAACTGGAGCAAGGTAACAGTCCCTGGCAGGGGTTGGGTCACAGAAAGCAGCCGGATTACCTGCAAGGGAAAGCTGAGAAGCTAAAGCATTTTCAGTGATATGGTCAATAGGTACTAGCATTTCTCAAATGAGGCAATGACCCATTTTGAGAAAAAGATTCCCATTTTACAGAAAAGAAAAGTACAGAGCACAGGGTTTCAGTGGCAGAGGTGGGAGGAGATGTTCTACCCTGTCTCATGGTTAGTGGCCATCAGGACCCCCACTAAGTCAGATGTGAGGATTTATAGAGCTTATCACCCAGGAACTATCAACTTACTGGGAGGCCTGGCAGACCTGGTAAGCCTGGTACTCCATCCTTCCCTGGGATTCCTGTTTTACCAGGGAGCCCCTGGGGGCCAGGATCACCCCGCTCCCCTGGCATCCTTGATCTTGAACTGAGAGTTGGCTCCCCTTTCTCTCCTTTGCGGCCTGCAGGACCCCGAGGTCCAAATAAACCCTACAAAACAGACAAAAGGGAACAATCAGGAGATGTATACATTATAGGACTCTGGTACCTAGCATAGGTCTGACCTAAAGCAGAACCTTGGGTACATTTTGGCACTGTTCAGGGCACTTGATAATTTCCTCATCTGGGATTACAACTGCCCATTTTTTTTCTTATCCTTTCTAAATCTTTGAAATTTTTGAGGATGGTAACCCTGTCTTAATTCGATTTCATCTTCAGGGCCCAGCGCAGTGTTAGGCAAATACAAATAATTTTGTGGAAGGAAAAGAGGGATTAAGGAGGGGGGGGAAGGGAGGGAACATAGGTAGGTCAAAGCAGAAAGGGACTTTGGAGATCAGCTAGTCTGACTTTTTCATATTACAGATCAAAACCCTGAAGCTTTGTTTTATTCCAATCTGTCTTTCCTGTGTTTTAGGAACGTGACTGGGGAGGAGTACGGGGCCCTGGAAAGCTCCTATTGCTCCCTCAGGGCCAAAGTTTGGTGAGACTTACTGGAGTCCCTGATGGGCCCTGTGTACCCCCAGTGCCTGGATCTCCTCTGGTTCCTTTAAGGCCTGGAAGGCCAATGAGACCTTGTGACCCAGGCAGGCCTGGCTCCCCAGGTGGTCCAATGTTAGGGACACCGCCATCACAAGCACAAAACCCCGAGTCGCCTGGAGGAGAAAAAGACAACATTAAACAAAATAGACCATCTTTCTGAGAAAAAGGATGATACAACAGTGGTAATTTGTGACTTGAACAACTCCCTGGAGGGAATCAGAATGTCCACAGAGAACAAACTCACATGAACTAGGTTTATGAACCAGATCTACTCTCTATCAAAGTACATTTGTACCAGTGATTTGATTTCATTACTCTCAGGGGAGACAACCCAGTGATCAGTGAGTCTAATTAATGTACAGCCAGAGTTAAGAACCACTGCCCTATGCTAACCACTTGGATCTGGAATCTAAGCCACTCAAAAATTCTCTTCATCATAATGTCTTTTCCCTTGTGTTCTGTACACAGAGACAAATGTCCAATAAATGTATGACAGGGATTTTGGCAAAGCACCTTTGAAGTGGTATCAAGGAATCACTAACACTATAGCCCAGCCACCTGTACCTTCCATGCTTATGGTGTGGAAAATGAGAACTTAGGCCAATGTAGGTGACTCTGAGGTCCCCTAACATCCTGAAGGGCCTCTTTTTACTTTCAGAAAATTGATGATCCCTGAAACTCGGAAAGAACAGTCTGTAGCATTTCTCAAGTGTGATCCATGGATCACAGTCAGTTATGTTGCCTGTTCATAAGGCAGCTTGCTGGGCCTCACCCCAATTCTAATAAAGCAGACTCTCAGGAGGCCAGAACCAAAATCTAATTTTGAGTAATCTCCCTTAGGTGATTCTCATGTACAGTGAAGCTTGAGAATCACCATCACTATTCCAGACTTAGGGATAACCTTCTGGTCCCATGGGAATATAGAATGGGGAGCATTAGAGTTATATCTTTTCAGGAGCGAGAATGGTATCCGGAAGTACACTAGCTCTGTAGTGAGTCACACAAAGGCAAAGGTTAACATCCTAAGTCAAAACTTGCAATTCCATCTCCTTTTTCTCCAAATAGTCCTCCTTGCAGCTGAACAACAGAGATGGAACTTTTAAAAACTTCTCAACTAGCTCCTATACTTACGTAGTGACATTTTATGATTCAGTAATGAGAAAGAGGAAGAGTAAGTTAGGACCTCTCTGCTTGAGGCTGAGAAGAGCTGTTAACTCTGCGAGAGAAGGGGAAAGATCTCAGATAACTTGAACTCCCTAGGCCATCCCCAAACCTCTCTGGAGCCCAGAGTTTCACCTCTTCCTCCACTTAGGCCTGGGCTGCAACTAAAATGAATTGATTTATTTGAGCTTTAAGCATCCGCATCTCAAGAGTATGAAACAGAGGAATGACCCAAAGGCAGCAAGAAGATGGACAGAGCAGTGTGGCCAAAGGCTGGCATAATCAGTTAGCCCTTCAACATCGGGGGGTGGGAAGGGAGATGCAGTTATTTTTCTGGAGCCAGTTGGTTGTTTCAGAGTGCCAACTCTTGACCTTTTCAGAGTCCTATCCTTCAGACTGAAGTTAATGATAAGTGGCATCCATCCTTGGCCTTGCAAGCTGAAAAGTGTTGCCGCATGTACTGGTTAATAACTGGGGTTAACTGCAACAGCTTCTGCAGGTGGACACAATAGGATGAGCAGCCTGCAAGCCACTTTGTTCTATGTGACCTCAACTTCCAGCCTCAGTCTCAGAGCCCTAAACATAGCCCTTCCAACAATCTTAAAATCAAATCCCCGATCAAGATCCCAAATTGCTTTTGTTCACATTCCCAAGGCTGTTAGTTTGCTCATTCCCCAGAAAGCTTTCTGCAAGGAGTGTGGGGAACAAAGAAACCCAAGGGGACAAAATTACCTTTTATTCCTTTGAGGCCTGGGTTTCCTTTTGGACCTCGTTCTCCTCGGAGACCAGGGAACCCTGGCTCTGTGTTCTGTAGTGTTCCAGTCTCAAATATTCGACCTTCAGGACAAAGGAAGCATGAAGGATCTCACACGAGCCTAGACTCACATGACTCAGCACAGCAGCTCAGTCACTGAGGACTAAGCATCCTTGAGTATAAACAACCGAAGCAGACACAGGGACCCAAAGTCTGTAGCAAGTCTTATCCCTTATTGACTCTATTCATTCTACTACTGCTTACAGAAGGTCTACTATGTTCCAGGCACTGGACTAGACAGTGAGGGTACAGGAATGACCCAGATAGCTTCAGTAAGCCAACAGGCCCAAAGTCTACCCCAGAAAGTTTGAAGGAATGGGTGCAAGCTGCAGAAGTCATGGGGTTTAGATTACAAACAAGCACACTGGGCATATTTCTAGCCTTTCTCTTAGAATCTAGAATTCCATACTCAGGTAGGAGACTTAGGGAAAATAAGCCTTGTAGAGGCTTTTAGCAACCATCTTGAGGATCCAGGCTTGGCTTTCCATTTCTCAGGCTCTCAGCCCACCCCACTGGAGCTTGAAGGAGCCAATGTTGCTTCATCATGAGCTGCAAGACCAGAGGCCAAGGGGCTGAGAACAGTGGAGGGTGGAATGAAATGAGTACAGAAATTGGAAGGAATTAGATAGTGTTTGGTTATTGAGGTGGCCTTAGCTTGCTTTTTTCTTGATGAGCACTCTGAGTGCTGTGGTCATTAACCTGTAGAAGAAGGCTCTGACTCAGAGAGAACAAGGCCTTTGTCACTGCCCCTCTGCCAGTCATTGTGTATCCTGGCTATTTCTCCTGTGAAATGCTCTCTCCCTCAAAAATCATGAGTGTTCTGCCATCTGGGTCACACCTGAGTCTCAACACCAAAGAGAAAAATGAATGACTTACCAGGTGGGCCTGCTAGGCCTGGTAAGCCTGGCAAACCGCCTCTGCCAGGGGGGCCAGCTGCCCCAACTGTGGTGCGGCCTGGGTTTCCTTTGTCCCCCTTGAGACCTGGAACTCCTTGGTGCCCTAGGGCACCTGGGACACCTGGAAGAATAAGCCCACACAATAATGCTACTCATGTCACCCTACCCTTCAGGGGCATTGCAATCAGTGGCATACATTGGAAACTAACTCCAAGGGAAGAATTTGGAAAAGCATTTGCCCTTCTCTTCCATCAGAGTTAGAGGGCTCATTAGGAATCATCTAGCCTAACTCCTCAGTAAGTTGAGACCCAAAGCCATGAGGAAACATGGTCAAGGGCACAAAGCTTTTTAGTGGCAAACCTGAGAGGGAAACCTGGTCTCCAGCCTTGTACTTTGTGATTTTTCAACCTTGGTAGTGGGATCAGCTGTACCTCCTCCAGTGGCTGCTTTATTTATTTATTTATTTTTTAATTCTTTTTAACATTTATTTATTTTTGAGACAGAGAGAGAGAGCATGAACAGGGGAGGGTCAGAGGAAGAGGGAGGCATAGAATCTGAAACAGGCTCCAGGCTCTGAGCTGTCAGCACAGAGCCTGACACGGGGCTCGAACCCACAGACCGCGAGATCATGACCTGAGCCGAAGCTGGACGCTTAACCAACTGAGCCACCCAGGCGCCCCCTCCAGTGGCTGCTTTAAAAGCACAGGTATCCTTACAGATGCCCATCTCCAAGGAACTTAGAAACTGATGCCTTTAAAAGCAATGTCTGAAGCTTTATATTTGAGTCACCATGGCCTCTCAGAATCTGGCATGCCCTTTCTCTATTTACTACTATAGAATGATATACAGGTATGCCCCTCCAATTGTTGTTTCAAGGGTGTCATCCATAGGATCCTGGGCCATTTAGTGCCTGAGTTAAGCACACAGTGAGGATCTGGGTACAAACTCTCCTCTGGGCTTTTGTTGGCCCCTTCTGGCAAGCATCAGCTGGGATGGCACATCCACAGAAGAGTGACAGGGTTCTAGCAGGCCAACACTGGCCCCCTCTGGTTACCACAAACCTCAGTAGAGTTGCCTGTTTAGCAATGCTACATTATTCAGGCCAAAAGAAAGCTGTTCACCCAGGTCCTATCTTCATATACATTAGCTTTGGGACAGTGGTAGGGAGCTTAGTGACTACCATTTACCTTTTCTTTGACTTTGGCTAGGTACATACCCAGACCAGAATGGATAGAGGACAGATCTGTGCAGGGGGTGGGTTAGTTTGCTTTACCTGGTAAAGCTGGCAAGCCAGGGAGGCCGGAAGTTCCAGGCAGGCCCTGGACGCCTTCATCTCCTTTAAGTCCTGGGAGGCCTGGCACACCAGGGTCTCCAGGGTAACCTGGCATTGTGATGAAAGAAAAAAGCCATAAGCAAACCCAGAGAAGGCCCACTAATGTCACAAAATGTCTAAGAGGAGTTGCAAGGAGATGTCCTCATGGTGGACGTGCCTTTCTTGTACTTCATAGGTCTCTCAGATGCTAATGGCCTCAGTGATAATGGGCCCACTTGAGCTAAGTCTCCATTAATGTCCAGAACTAGTCTGGCCAGGGTTTACCTTCCATGGTAAGATCTGGTAAGTACTAGGAACGTTTTTCTACTACTACCAACCTGCTGTCATGCATCAAATGTCTACTATTTGTGTTACGGTGTTGAATTCTACCACTCATATTATGCACATAGGTTCCCTGGAAGTGGAACATAAGAAGCTGCTGTCGATCATTAACACCTTGGCTTCAATGAATTTACTGGCTAGGGCATGGGCCAGAGAAGATGAGAGAGGAGAAATAATTTAGGACACTCAGGTAGAAGAGGTACAATAGTAGAAGACTTTGCTCAAGCAAAGAGTAGAGACACTGGCCATATGGATGTTTGGAGAAGGCAATGGAAAGAGTTGGATACTTCTCCACTTCCTATGAAATCGTCAAACCCAAGCATGAATGGGATCATGTAGATGAGACACCAAGTGTCTCATGGTACAAGGCTGCAGTCAGCCTGGCTGGGGAGGATACCAATCCTTCCCTAAGCATCTTTAAGAGAACAATTTTCAGCAAGTTCAGGCCCAGTCTGACCCAAATCCTAGTCTTAGTGGACCCAACACAAACATGAAGCCTAGGGTTTGACTTCTTTGCCCAAAGACATTGGAGTTCAATTTTCTAAGTACAGGACTCATGAGGGGCCCTTGAGGGTGTTGGGTTTAGCAGCAATCCAGTGGCTGACAAAGTACCCTTTTCACAATCGCAGGGAATATAGAATTTAAGTCCTGGTCCTTTCTTTTTCACTCAAATCAATGAAAAGTTGCACCTGAGATCACAGCACCATCCGTATCGATGTAAACATCTGGGCCTGGCAAGCCAATGCCACCCTTTTCGCCCTGTAAAGATTCAATGCGTTAAATGCAAATATTTCTGTGACCTCATCACTCAAGATCTATGTGCCTTCAAAACCACTCCTCAGGAAAATGAAAGGTTTCTCCTCCTGCAACCCCTGATTCCCAGGGCCAAGTAGTCCATAGGTTAATTCCAGAGCTCAATAAGTTTCAGATGAAGGCAACATAAGGCAGGCCAGAGGCCTTACACTCAATTGCAAACCTGTCAAAAATAAGGGATCTCAATTTTATTTTGCAACCTGACTCAAGGATAATCTGCTTCTGGACCCGAGGAACATGTCACAAGAACAGACAACATTGCTGCACCAAAGAGGTGCAAAGGAAGGAGCAGTTGCAAAATTTTCTCCACACTTAGCAGGCCTAAGACTCTGCTACCATCACTGGCCTTGTTAGTGGATGATGTCAGGCAGAGGAAGTCAAAGGACTTTCCAAAAGGGTGACTCAGTCCCCAAAAGGGGGACTCAGGTATCAGAATCAGATACAATGGCAAATCCAGGTAGGGTGGTGGGAGCTGCCTGTCCTAGGTACAGGCAATGAGGGGGTGCATCGTCTGTAGAGAATTTAAAAACAATCCCCCCCCCAAAATTTGGCAATTCTAAACCATGTCAGTAGTAGAATATTCTTCCTTGTAGAGATGGATTTGCTTTCACAGCCTCCCCCTTTTAGTCTGCCATTGATCAAGTGGAATCTAAGGAATGCTCAATGGCTTTGTGTGTTAAAAGTAGTTCGTGCACTGAAGTGCATATGAAAAGAGTAACCTTTAAAATGTTAAAAAATATGGGGCGCCTGGGTGGCGCAGTCGGTTAAGCGTCCGACTTCAGCCAGGTCACGATCTCGCGGTCCGTGAGTTCGAGCCCCGCGTCAGGCTCTGGGCTGATGGCTCGGAGCCTGGAGCCTGTTTCCGATTCTGTGTCTCCCTCTCTCTCTGCCCCTCCCCCGTTCATGCTCTGTCTCTCTCTGTCCCAAAAATAAATAAAAAACGTTGAAAAAAAAATTAAAAAAAAAAAAAAAGAAAAAAAAAATAAAATGTTAAAAAATACTTCATCTCATCTGTAGGCATTTGTTAAGGTCCAAGAGTTTGTGTCCTCCTTCCCCCCGCCCCGCCCTCAATTCATTTTGAAAACCTAATGCCCAAGGTGATGGTATTAGGATGTGGCATCTTTGGGAAGTGATCAGGTCATAAGGGTGGAGCTAATGCCCTTAAGAGGACTAATGCCCTTATAAGAAAAGGCCAAGAGAGCTAGCTTGCCCCTTCCACCATGTGAGGACACAGTGAGAAGTCAGTGACATGGAAGAGGACCCTCACCCAACCATTCTGGCACCATGATCTCGGGCTTCTCAAAACTGTGAGAAATAATTTTCTGTTGTTTATAAGTCACCCAGTCTGTGATATTTTCTTATAGCAGCCAAATGGACTAAACAGCATTTATGGTAATTTTTCACTCTTCCACCTCCCCAATCCAGGATTTTCACTTCCCAACAACATTACCTTAATTCCTGGAAATCCATTAAATCCAGGGAAACCTGAGGACCCTTTCTTGCCCTGCGACAGAAACATAGTTACAACTAAGTCAAATGTCTAAGAGCATATGGGGGACTGGTCTTTGGACGAGGCCAGGGCAAATGGCACAGGGATGTTGGCTGGCATGCCAGAGTATTCCAGGAGTCTACCTGACTCTGGAGGGTGTAAAAGGTTCCAGAAGGCAATATGGACCAGGTAGCCACCTTGCATCTTAGGAGGTATAAGGGCCACCGGCTAGAGATGAATACAAGCAGGCTGGCCTTGCTAGACCCCGATAACGTAATAAGTAAGTATGACCATGGTACAGCACTGGATTGGTAGCACTGGAGACTCTGCTTCTTGGGTCAAGATAAAAGAAGATAGTGGCTGAGATTATGCCAAAGAGAGGTAGATACTTTGTATTATAAGCAGTGATTCCCTTTGGACTGATGGCCACATTAAGTAAAGCAAGAGGGCCTTTTAATTATGACTTTACATGTGGGCTTTTAATGATATTAACCAAAATACCTGACTCCCTGGGAGGCCTCGGAGTCCTTCTAAACCCATAGGACCCTGTAAAGAGAATGGAGGCACCTTAGAAAGATTAATAGCCCACACTAGAAAAAGCCAATAGACTTACATAACAAAGCTATCCAACTGAGTTCAGGATTTTGCCTATCCTAAAATCAGGTAAGAGAACGTTCCTAGACCTGGCTTAATGACTTTTCTTCTAAGCACTAATCCATCAGGCTGAATAACCACACAGAGCATTTTTAAAGAGCTAAACAAATGGAAACATTTCAAGTACTAGGTGGAATTTGGTAGAAGGGATGGGTGGTATTATACTTAGTGTGCATTAGTTCCAAGTCATGAGACTTTTTAAATAAATTGTGGGAGGGCCTCTTGTCTCTCACCCCAAATGCATTCTTGGTTGGTGATTATGTCTTTTCAAGACAAGAGAGTAAAGTAGAGGAAGAAATGGTGGGGTAATGGGTGAACACCGCTGAATATTCAAAATACTCTTAACAAGATTTATGATCACACTAAAATCATAATTTTCTAAAATATGACTTCTTTAAGGCTAAAGGTTGGCCAATTGCTTACAGCCCAACATCTAAGTGACTGAAACACTTAAAATCACTGAGGCTAACAATTATTTCTTCACTTGAATTGAGCTTATTATCAGAAATTGTTGATTGCAAACATCACTATGTTCTAGAACATCCCAGGCTTGTTTCTGTCCTATAAAGATTGTACTTGGCCCTCTTTCTTCCATTCCTGCAACACCCACACTCTTGCCCACATTCCCTCAGGATAAAATATAATTAAAACAAGACAACACTCACACCATTTTTAGCCCAGAAGATAATTATGTACGACAACAAAGAGAGTAAGTAGGCTGAGGAGCCATTCCTTATTCAAAGGAGCCACTAAGTCAAGGAAATGGGGCAAAGTGAAAAGGAGGAGATCATAGAGACCTGTCAGAGGGCTGAGGAAGAGAAATAAAAGAAGCTTTGGTGGCCATCAGGTTACATAACATAAAGATGCAAACAGGACAAAAAAATATGGACTGGGTGACTTGACAGACTTAGGCAAGCAACATTCCAGGTTCATACCCTAGGTCCTGGCAAACCAGGGATTCCCTTTTCACCCTTTTCTCCAGCAGTTCCAAATCCCTAAAGGAAAAAAGAAACCACAAGTTATAACATCCATTTCTTCATAGGTCTCCTGGCTCCATCCAAAGCAGGGAAGTAACTTTAAATCAGTGCCACTGACCTATTGGGGAGGCTCACCATGATGAGTCTCTTGTCACTGTCTGAGAAACACATGGGTCCTGAATATAATTTGGACCACTGATTCAAGGTTCCTTCTTGGTTTTAGAAGTAATGTCATGTTCCCCTAAACACTAGTACATGTATTCATAGCAACATGGACTGACAGCATAAAAATGATTAAATATCTAACCTCATTGGTTTTACAGATGGTAACACTAACATTCAGAAGGGTTAAGCATGTCATATGGGTTACAGAATCAATGAGATGGCCAGGTCTTCACATTTCCATTCCAGGGCCCTTTCCATGAAAATAGGCTGTCTTCCATCACCTAGGAACTCATTTCTTTGACCCACAGATGGAGAATTTTGTTAATTGTTGGGGGTCGATACTAGAGGGAAGAGCTTTTGCCCTCTGGAGACATGATGACTGTGTCATTCTCTTCAGTGGGAAGGATTATTTCTTTCTAGGTGTGGTCTAGAACCCTGCAGACCCTAGCAGTACTCTGAAGGGCACTAAGAGATGGTCTTCAATCCCTCTTGCCCTGCTCAAAGACTGAAGATTTCAGTCATAGACCTGACTTGGGGACAAGCAGAAATCCAAAGAGCAGACTGAGTGAGAAAAGCTTCCTTCCCTCTGGGTCCAAGGCAAGCATATTCTGGGCCCTTGAGATACAGAAAAGTTCATTATTAAAGTGGATAGAGTCTTTCATGGCAAACCTCATCAAGGCCATTTTGTTGTTACTGTTTAAAATTGGACTTTCTGGAGCATAGATTTTGGCAAACAATATTCATGCCTATTGTAAGAGTAAAGGAAGCAGTGATTCTTTCTCAAATGTAAGCTTGTAAAAGATGGTAAATGTTGTGGCATGTCTCCTGTTGTCCTCTTGATGTGACCTGGCTCAGCTGGTTATGCAGGCTCTGCTCTAATCCCACTTAGAGTTTTTCCTTCTTCTTACATACTCAGAGCACTCCCATGGGTACTGAAAGCTGGCTGAACAAACCTTAGCTTTGTAGGCTCAAGTTGTGTTTGTTTTGTTTTGTTTTTTAATGTGTTTTTTTTTGTGTGTGTGTGTGTCTTTTTTATTGTGGGGTCGAGTGTGCATCTGTGAAGGGTCTAGTTCAAAGCAAGCTTTGGTTCCTCCTCGCCTTTCTTTTTTCTACGTCAATAGTTGTGTGTCAACTGGGTCAGACCTCATGCTGAATAGGATTTCTATTTGAAAGGCCTATGCGTCAAATGAACTCAAACTTACTTGAAATCTGTTCTGCATCTCAAATGGGAAACCAAGGCATGCTGCCACCTGGTGGAATCTGTCTATGGGTCTCTGAAGCCAAACATCATGCAGCTTTCCCTGGTCTGGCCATGGAAGCTATAGCAGCCCACACTGCCCCAGACTCTTACAGCACTGAGATGACTTAAATGTATGAAAGTTTGTAAGCAGGAGGTCTATGTCACACTCACTTCCATCTCCTCCAAGACATGTTACTCTGCAGGCTGAACACATACAAAGTGGTTCCATACATACTTGTTGAATTAAAAAGAATGACCTGGAGACCAAAACTGTTGCAAAAAGTGAAGCATGTCCTAGAACTGTCCAGGAACTGTCTCACACTCTCCACCTATCTTGCCTGTAGTTGGAAAGACAACGGGACTTTGTCCTCCTTCTTCAGAAAGCAGAAAGTGTATCAGGACTCTTGCTCTCTCAGAGAGCTTGTGCTACCATGTGAACAAAAATAAATACCCAAAAAGTTTAAAAAGGACAAAATCGGGGTGCCTGGGTGGCGTAGTCGGTTGAGCGTCCGACTTCAGCCAGGTCACGATCTCGCGGTCCGTGAGTACGAGCCCCGC